ACAACCCCGTAACAATATGCGTTTTGTACTGCTGTTACACAGCACAAAACGCATAAAAACTGTTGTGCGCTAAACAGAATTGTTCCCGTTTTGCTCTGAAGTTTATATTAAAAAGTTCCTTTTAATACAATTCTTAAAAGAGGTGATTTGGATACTTCTGAGTGCCCCTTTCTCCTGTAGCGCATTATGAAGGCTTTTGGTTTGCAGATTGGCATCCAATTAACACGCTTAAAAGAGTTTACGAGTGATAAAATCACTGAAAAGTCGAGGAACAGAAATACACTGACACAGTTTTTTCTTGTGAGAAGCAGGAGCCAGCAGCAGGCGGTCACTAGAAAGCAAGAATTAAAGTACGCTGGAGAAGAGGCCGCATTCCAAACTGCACTAAAGAAATCATGTGAAGATGTTAGGAAGAAATGTGTTGTAAGTTTATGTTTTTAATTTCTCTGTCATTTTTTCTTTGATATTGCTCTTCTTAGCTCCCAACATGATTAGAATAATTTTTTCCCAATTGTGCATAAAGCAACTAGTTAAAAGGACTATTGGAACCTACTAAAAACGCACCTGGACTCACCAGAGATTTGACTTTGTTTTATGGTTTGCTGATTAGCTACATAAGTTATCCCTGTTTTTACAACGTTCACTAACAAAAACATAAGCATCTAGTACTTACAGCTACATTCTCTATTACGGCTGCTGTTTGAGTAAAATTTAATATCATGACTGAAATTATCTCCTGTCTACGAGTGTAAAAGGTGAGGAAAGCAAGGACGAAATCAGCTGAACTTATAAATGGGAGGAAAATTGGCTAACGTGTTTTTTTTTTTCTTTTTCAGTATCATAAACAAACCGTGCGCCCTACTTTTCATAATTATTTCGAAGAGGAGGACGTGAAAACCGAGTTTCTACAAATGCTTCAACAATTTGAAGGTAATTTTTCATGCGTTTTTTGCTGTGAAACAGCTGCACAAAACGCATATTGCCACGGGATTATCTGTGTATGTCCGCAGCAACTTGTCCGCAACTTTCTGAATCATAAGAGCTAGGAAGCTGAAGATTTGGGGCGCAGTCCCCGCCAATGTGTGACCCCGCAAATTTAAATTCAGCCTTCCCTTGTTCACGGATAACACGTACGGCTCCATAAAAGTTTTAGCGGGCAAAATTATTACTACAGGGATCATAAAAGCTAGAAGTCTCAGTTTTTATGGGCATCTCGCCTCCCTACATGCGACCCAGAAAATTTTAATTCAGGCTTCCCTTGCCCGTGGTTATCATGTGTGGTCCTCTTAAAAAGTTTTGGCGGGGAAAATTATTATCTCGGAAACCACGAAAGTTAAAAGGCTGAAATTTTGTGGGCTTGTCCCTATCCACGTACGACCGTTCATATTTAAATTCAACCTTCTCGTGCCATCGGGTATCACGTACGTCGCGCTAAAATTTTTTGCGAGGAAATGATCTGGAGAACCACGCAATCTAGGAAATTGGAGTTTTCAGGCAACGACCCCGCGCTCACGTGCGACCTTGCAAATTCAGTGTTCCCGCGCCCTCGACTATCACTTGCGACCGAAAATGAAAATTTTGGCGGGTAAATTATCTCGGGAATCATAAAAGCAAAGAAGCTGAAATTTTGCGGTAATGTGCCCTGCCCACATGCAATTCCGCAGTTTCAAATTTAATCTTCCCGAGTTCCCAGGTGCAAAGCAGGGAAAAACATTAACAGGCAGTCGTTCGGTGAACGGAATTGCACAAAACGCATGATCGCACCGACTATTCTGGTGCGCGCCGCTATTTGTTCCTCTTTCGATACTTCTTTGATCAGCTGGTTTTTCATGGTCCCTTTCATTTTTCCAATGATACAGTTGGCAGCTTTGCTTCTCTCTGTTTCGAATCAGTAGTTATGTATGAGAATTTAAGGGACGAATCCTTTCATCGCATTCGAGACCTCTTGAAATGCTGCGTTAGTACCATTCCCCGACCCTCTTTGCCCATATGTTGTCTCTGACACTTGCCAGTTAACTGTCCCACCCGTTTTTCTGAGGTAAAAGTACCTTTACAGCACTGCTTACGCAAAAAATTATAATATTTCACGGCAGATGTATTGCAGAATTCATAATGCGTTTTTTTTTAAACTTATTAAGTCACCGTTAACACTTTCCCCTCAGCATTCCTACTTTCCATATTTAGCACTTGTATAGCGAGGACTGATGCCTCAGTCATAGTCGACAGTGTACTATCTTAGTGCTGGAAGAGGCGCTTTTTAACTTTTATCTTGTTGCTTGGCTTCATGCCAACTCGTTATATCTGTTTGCAGCATTTCTCAAAAAACCTAAAGAGTCTATGATTCGATGTTTCCTTCTCATTTTAAGAATGCACGGTGATTTATCCTCCTTGCATTGTTTGCTTGTTTTAGATCCAACGGCCGAAATTATGAGAGAATTGGCGGTATATTTCAGTTTGTTGACAAAAAATGGTGATTTATCGGATGTTGTCTCGCAGCTAAGGTTTTTGGATCGTGAGTTAAGTGAGCGTTCGTTTGAATGGATTCTCGCTGTATCTGCTTTAAAAGCTACTATTGATCGTATATGTAAAACACTGTATGGGTTTACTCTGTTCGCCTAAGGGAAGCTTCTTGGAATTATCAGTAGTTTTCAACTATGCCACTCATTTTGCAAAAATTTATAAGTTTTATTCAGTGTTGGAGAGACTTCAGGTCCTAAAAGTGTAGCTGTTCTTATTGAAAAAAGAACACTTCGTAAATTGCTGAAAACTTTTTCTTCCTTCTTAACCAATAAGGCATCAGTGGCATGCTGTTGGCCTTAGTCTGAGGTAACATCGGTGATATTTCGTTTGATTGTTTCGTCTTAATTATAACTGGATGTTGGCATGCCTAGCATGGACACAGTCAGTCAGCTTCCAATATGCTTCTGATGAGTGTTACGACTAAAATTGTTGTCGTTCCGGCTGAGAACATATGTTTTGCTCTTAAGCAGCCAAGCATGAAAAGTGCGTGAAAAAAATTTGAAATTACATAGTTTGCGAATACTTTAAAAAAGAATTAAATTTGAAATTTTGTCGGAGCGGAAGAGCTGTTTTTGACCGTTTCCAGCTTTTATTTCTCTCTTTGTTTTAAAATGTCGGGTCTTTAGGTCCGTGGATCTCAGGGCCCAAAAATTATGCTTGTGTACTGATGTTTGCAATTAGCATTGTGTGTATTTCTAAAACACCTTTTTTTGTCACTCCAATTATTGCTGCCGCAAAGCTGGTCTGTTGATAAATGAATAGCTTTTTTATTTGTTTCACAATATAAAGGGGGCATTTAAAGTGAAACGAGATGGATCGTAAATGTCTTGAAGGGCATTCAAAACAGCAGAATTGTTTCATCTTCGAGGACGTCCGGCGGTCAGTGGTGGTTAGCGAGAGGAGTGCAGAGACAGATGACCCAATTAAACTGTAACCTGCGAAAGAGGGGATTGGACAGTTACGGGCATTATCTGCTACGACCGCTTTTACCCACGCACATCTGGTCATCTCTCTTCGCCTGAACAGTCGGCTTGATCCTTTTGTTCAACCCGTCCTTGAATAAACCTTCAAAGCAAAGGACCAGTTTGAGTAATTGGGATTTATCATATGCATGGGATGTGCATCTCCAATACATTTGAGAAAAGCGTTTGCGCTAGCGTACTTTTTCCTTCCTTATCTATCCGCCATTCTTATTTTTTACGCGTCTTTGTGTTAATGATGAAATGCGAAAAATCGTAGCGGCGAGAGATTGCCGATGCTGTGTGTGTGTGCTTGTGTTTGTGCTTGCGGACATGTGTGCATTTGTAAGTCTGCGTGTTTTGAGTTTTGCCACTCACTTTCAGCAATCGGAGAAGTTAGGAAGCTGTAATTTTACGAGAATGTTTTGAGCTTATGTATGACTAACAAACATGAAGTCAAAGCTCACATGCGTCTCTGTCTCACGCATTAACGCCTAAAACCAAGACTATTAAATATTTAGCAAGAAAGCGGTTTCGAAAATCGGACAGCACTGAAAGCTGGAATTTTACGAGAATATTTTCTGTCTCTATACAACTAGGAATTTTAAATTCAACCTTACTACACCTGCATCTTTTGTGCACGCGAAGTTGAGACATTGTCGGCGTCCCCTCAATTCGAGAATCAGACTGAGTAGAAAGCTGTAATGTGGTGGTGATGTCTACCGTTCACGTACAGGCCAGGACACTCGCTTTTATACGGGTCAAAATTCCATTTATCGAATCTCTGTTCCAGGAAATGAGGAGCTCTGAATGAATATAATGGTTATAATTCGTCCCCTTGAACAGTCACCTCGAATAAGTCATCACGGAGTTTTGGTTGAAAACGCAGCTGTTTCATGTGCGGTTCCGAGCCAAAGGAAACGAAACCTAGGAGGTGCTTTCTCTGTTTCTTACATTTTGTTTTCTAATTTGTTGTTTCAAAATACTTTTGTGAAGATTCAGTGAATGTAGCGTTTTAAAAGCAGATGATGGCCTTTCTGTTTTTGGAACTGGAAGACTAATGTAGGAAATCTAATGTAGATTTTTCCAGAACAAGCTACATTTGACACTTTCACTTATTATTTTATTGAATGCCTATTATTAGTGAATTGCTGTCGCTGAAAAATGATACTTCAAAAAATATTTATTTTAAAAAATTGTGGAATTCCTCTCTCTTCTATTTTTTTCAGCAACCTTCGCCACCACTGCTTGAAAATTTTCCGCTACTTTCACGGCATAAATTTTTTTGCAAAATTCCAGTTTACCTCCTTGTCTGACTCCCAAGTAGAAACTTATGATAAAAAACCTCACACGTTTGTATGTGAGACCCAAACGTACGTAAAAGCTGAAATTGGAATTACAAGGTCGTACAGTTACAGACAACATTATTCTAAAATTTCCGCTTCCTAGCTTTTCTAGTTGCTAAGTTGAAGAACCCGACAGACATTCGAGCCAATACAGACACACATACTTACATTCGACAATATGTACTATGTTCCGTTGTTGCGCAAAGCGCCGAAGAAACAAAATTTGTGTATTTAGCCGGTACAAATTTAAAATTGACTGAAAAAATTAAATGCATAAGACAGCGAGAAGTTATTTTATGAGCGGCTTACGTTCATAAAACAACTTCTCGCTGTTTCTGGTGAACGAAAGCCGCTCATAAAACAACTTTTCGCGGATTAGCATCAAAGATATGTGAATTTATCGCCCGTGAGTGTGTGCACCTCAGATCTAGCCCAACTGGATTATTTTTCGGCTCGATCCAGTCACTCTTTCATTGACTGCAAATTGTTTTCCGACCATGTAAGGCTGTGAAGGAGGTGTGGAATGTACTGTCAAGTCAGAGAATTTTTTTTTTTTTTTGCGACTTTAGCTGATGAATACGTGGAGGACAACAACGACCATCTGTCGTACCTCGATTGCCGCCTGCTGCTGCCATCATCAGTGTTTGCCGGGATCAGTTTATCAGCAATTATCATCGGATTAGCCCTGGGGCATTATTACGATTTGCGACGAAGGCGCAGTGGAACATTGCCAGACTGGCTGTTTGCATCAGGCTGGTATCCATCACACTGCAATGTTTGTTTCAAACACTTTCAGAAATTGGGAGAAAAAATGCTTTGGAAAAAAAATATTAAGTGATTGGTAACCTACAAGATACCTGCAAAAAAGAAAAACTCCTCGAGGTCAGAAATCTTCGGCAATTCATTCCTATGAAAGGCGAAAACACTCGAAAATGAGGGTGCGACAATTGACATCAGTGTTTCGGTTTCCGAAGTTTGCCTGCAAGCACTTAATTCATGCACACTACTCTGTCTGGGAAAGCTGAAACATGAAATGGGACAGTTGTCCTTTACAGTTAAAGGCGTTGAAATTTCTGAAGAAATTTTAAAAATAGGAAATCTCAAAGAAAAGCGCAATATTAGCTAAAAAACGTTGTAATGCAATAAAAGTGCAAAGGATGCTGAATCACCAGGACTGAATAAGAACATACACCAGAGGGCCAGCGCGCGGCATGCTTTTGTAACAAAGTTTTGCAAGTGATTTGCGGGTGAATACTCTTCCAGTCACAAAGCTCACATGACGAATTTTTTATATTGAGCACAGCGAAAAAAGCACGAAAATTTTGAGCTTACAGCTTCTTCGGCTTTAAAGTTACGTACCATAGCTCATATATTTCGGTAATAAGTTTCGAGTCCTTTGTGACGAAGATGCAACGAATAACAGTTTCTAAATTTCCATTTTTGGGATACTCCACCCCAAAATCATGAAATTAGTCTCTTTTGAATTAATCATGAAGGGCCACAGATCGGAGCGAGAGCTGAAAAACCGATTTCAAGCCATTTTAGTAGCTATGAATTGAAAGTTGAGTTTTTAGCTTAGTTTATTCTTCTGTTATGAAACATTCCCAGATTTGTAAGGTCATAAATTAGGAGGAGCGATATTAGCGTTGAACTTGGGAATACGCCTCATGTTCTAGGACTATGTCCCTTAATTTCCATCTTTCAACTTTCCATAGTTCCTGAAATAACTACAGAAACTGGAAAGATAAGATTTCAAGAGTATATTTCTTGGCCATGATACACAAGTATAGAAATTGCTCGTTTTGACCAATTTAGTTATGCAAAAATATAAAATTTTGTGCCGTAAATTTTTATGTGAGATGCTAAACGTCTTATACAGCGGAGTTTCAATAAAAAATCAAATTTTCTCTTGAAACAGGTATAAGATTGCTAAGTAGGTAGCAAAAAAATTAAAAAAAGACAGTCGAGAGAATGCTTTCAGAATTCGCTACTGTCACAAATCCCGGAGGTGCCGTGGCACTTGCCTTCCGCACTTCGATTACTGGAGCTCACGGTCCAGGCGAACGTATTGTTTCGCGTGGCTACATGCGTCCCAAATGCTCTTCGGCTTTTCCAGAGCTATGTGCTCAGCACCGTAAATGCGCATTTCTCTGAGCAGTGGCTGTGGTACCGCCGTTGTAATGCTGCCGCTCCAGTGTTTCTGCTGCTTGAATTATCCTTCTGCACTGTATTTTCCATTAACACAGTTCGACAAGATTATCAAAGTAAGCCTTTGACCAAGAGCCTTCTCCTTCTCATTTTCAATTCTGTCTATAAATGTTTTTTGTTTCAAGAAAAACAAAATGTAAATGAATTATTTTCGCACGGATATCAGTGGCATGGCCAAATGAAAGAGAAAAGGTCGTCATCTTGCTTTCCCAGAAGCACCGAAAATCTTTGCGCAGATAAAAATGCTAAAAGTAAAAACTGACTGGCAAAAATTAGCGAAAGAGATGCATGTAGACGGATAAATTCAAAATTCAAAAACGTTAAATTCATTGCGAAGTTATAATATGTTTCACTCTATTAGAGTCGAGGTTTAGCCCCAAAACAGTGCAAAATGCTAAATTAAAACAAGTAGAACGCGAAATTAACAGGCTTCTGCTAATTTTATTATTTCAGTGCTTGTTAGAACCCAGCTGCGACAATCACAGTGCAAGATGAAATGGTTAACCAGTTATAATCGAATTATAGACGTTGACGATGAAACAGAAATTTATTGAGAAAATTCGTTTTTTGCAAATTAAAGATTTATGGTCTTGTTGGTATCTGGAACCGGTCGGACAAGCTTTGTGGTTTCTCGGATTTCCATCACCTGGGTAGTTTTGACTTCCCTCGGCACTACCTTCGCATATAACACTTTCAAATAAGCACTTGCCCGAATCGATTCAGTCGTGCAAAAATCAAAAAAGTTTGAGTTCATTTTTGCTCGAAATAGGAGTCAAATGAATATTTTTGTTTCAGTTGTCTACAGGATCTCATTCAATCTATTTGTGATCAGCGCATTTATGCATATGGCCGCCTATACTGCGGTGACCATTTATCGAACGAACAGGAACCTCGAGGTACTGACAACACTGAGTTCCAACTTTCCAAACTGCAGTTACCTTCCGCGCTTTCGAATAAACCTCTATATCCAGTTACACAGACAGATGTAGGTGCTGAAATTTAAAAATTGGCTAACGCACGGGCTGCCCGTGCGAAGATGCGTTTTTTGCAGAGTTCCCTGCAGTTTT